GAAATAAATGCAGGCAAAACACCCACACATAAAATGAATTAACATATGGATGTAGATCAGGCATTGTCGAGGAAGTCTCTCGAGTGAGTGAAGGAAAGCTGAGAGAGACCATAGATGGGATCCAGCAATCATGGCACTCAGGCCTCCCATCCTGGATCTCTAACAAGCTCTTTCTTCCTCTCCATCCATTCCTTCTTTATTTAATACCCAGTACCAGTGAGCAGGCCAGCTCAGTCCGACTCTTTTTTCTTTCCCTTCCTTTTTTTATTCTTTCCTTTTTCTTTCTCCTTCCAAAGAAAACAGACTGGCCTTTTTTGATGGGGCTATTCTGCATTATCTTTTGTAAAAGTTGAAAATAGTTTTTTTTTCTCACATACAATATATTCTGATTAAACTCCCCTTCCCCAACTCCTCCCAGATCCTGCCACACACGCAAATCCACACTCTTTCCTCTCTTATTAGAATACAACAGGCATCTAAAAAGTAAAATACAATTATGAAATATTAACAAACAATCTGGAACAGGATGTTACAAACAGGCTAACAAGACAAAGGGCCAAGAAAAAGGCACAAGAAGCACATACAAACATAGAGGTACACGCATTTGCACACACAGAAATTCCATAAAAAAACAACATTGGAAACTATGATACATACACAAAAGGTCTTTAAAGGGTCTGGAGAGATGGCTCAGCGGTTAAGAGCACTGGCTGCTCTTAACAGAGGTCCGGAGGTCCAGAGCTCAATTCCCAGCAACCACAGGGTGGCTCACAACTATTTATAATAGGATCCAATGCCCTCTTCTGTCATGCAAGCATACATGCATGACCTATAGAACACTCATATACATACATAAATAAATAATTTTTAAAAGGTCTGTAAAGAAAAGAAAAAAATCATCTAAAGTATTATGAGACAAGGAACCTCCCCAAATGCCACTGAGTTGATTTTGTGTTGGGCATGCAGCCTGTCCTTAAGAGTGGTTTGTATACCCAGTGAGACTCCATTGTAGAGAATGATTTTTTCATTTGCCAGCACTTTTCAATTGGAGATAGCTTATGGGGTAGGCATGGGAGTATGTGTCCACTCCCCCTCTGTCGGTGCTAGAAGCCCATCTGGCATAGACCCTTGCAGCCCCTGTGCATGCTTCCACAGCCTCCGTGACTGCACGTGTGCATCATCAGTTCTGCTGAGTTTGGAAGGCCTTGATTCCTTGATGTCCTCCGTGTCATCTGGCCCTTTAAATATTTCTGCCTCCCCTTCACAGGGTTCCGTGAACTCTGAGGGCGGGGGTTGATGGAGATGTTTAGGATTGAGGGTTCTCAGGTCTCTCAGTCTCTGTAAAATTGTCCCATTGTGAGTCTTTTTGTTTCCAGGAGGAAGCTGCTCTGCTGATGGCTGAGCAAGGCACTGATCTATGAGTATAGCAGAATGTCATTAGGAGTCATTTTATTGCTACCTTCCTTTAGCAGAATAGTAGTATTTGATTGTCCCCTAGGTCCCTGGGCTATCTAGTCTCAGGTTCTCGGGTACACAGGCAGTGTTGGGGATGGGTTCCATCTCATTGAGCGGGCCTTAAATCCAATCAGATATCGGCTGGTTACTGTTGTAGAATATCATTTCAAGGTGTGTTACTTTTGGTTTTGCTCGGGAACATTTATTTAATGATGCAAAGATGTATTAGATTAAATAAAATTTACCTGCGGTCAGGAGGCTGAATCAGAAACTAGCTGACAGGAAGTGGTAGGGAGGAGCCAGGTGAAAAGGGTTTTTAAGGAGGGGCCAGGAGAAGCTCGGGGGGGGGGGGGTGGGGGGGTGGGGGGTGGGGGAAGGGAGGAGGGAAGGGGGCTTTTTGGAGCAGAGGTGAGCTACTTGCTATTCAGCCTCTCTGAAGAGCAGAATTCCACCTTAGCCTTTGAATCTTGAGTTTTTTAGAGGGAGAGAGGTTTAGTTAAGTTCCCTTCATAGTTTTGCAAGAGTTGGAGCCTGAGGGAAAAGAATTCCCTCAGGCTACGGCCCTTGCAGCTAGCAACCACTGGCAGTGGTGGAGTTCCAGTTGCTGCTTTGGACAGCTGCGGCTTAAAAGGCAGAAACAATTTTAAAAAGGACAACAGGTTACTCCCACAAGCTTTATGCCACTTACACTGCGTTAGTGTATCCTGCAGGCAGGACGCCATTGTCGATCTCAGGGTTGATAACTGGGTTGCTGTTTACCTTTGTCTTCTGGTAGCATACTGAGTACCTTCCAGTGCACTCAACAGTAGTAACTCACGGGGTGAAAGCTCTAGGTAGGCACCAGCTCAGCTTCTCCGTGTTCAGTGAGTTGTACGGGTGTTTTCTTCAGCAACAAGGCCTTACCATCAAGTCTGCAGAGAGCAGCCAATAGCCTTGGCAACAGCTTGGCTTGTTTGGGGGTATCCACGGAGCCCCTTTGGCTAACAACTTGTAACCTATTCCCTGAGCTGGAAGTTTTATTTGCTTTGTCTCCCTTGCTATTTGATGATTCCATTTAGATTTCATATAAATATATGAAATATATGAAACATATATATGAAATCTGAATTACATATACTAAAAGGTTTCCATAGTATTAGCTGTCTGTCCCTCTCCGTATTCCCTCATTACTCCTCTTCCCTTCACTTCTCCATTGGATCCTTCCAGCCCACCTATCCATCCATAGCCATCTATTCTATTCCCTCTTTCTGGGGAGATCCATCCCTCCCCCTAGTCCCTCACTCTATACCTAACCTCTGTGGTTACATGGATTGTAGCATGCTTATTGAAGACTTAACAGCTAATAACCATATATAAGCAAATACATATCACATTTGTACTTCTACAATCTGCGTCACTTCACTCAAGATGATTTTTTTTTCTGGCTCCATCTATTTACCTGTGAATATCATGGTTTCATTTTTTTAACAGCTGAGTAATATTCCATTATGTAAATGTACTATATTTTCTTTATCCATTCTTCTGTTGATGGACAGGTAGGCCATTTCCAAAATCTGTCTATTATGAAATTAGCAGCAATGAACAAGGTTGAGCAAGTGTCTCTGTAGTAAGATGTAGTGTTCTTTGGATATATGCTGGAGTGGTGTAACTGGATCTTGAGGTAGATTGATTCACAACTCCCTCAGGAACCACCTCATTGATTTTCACAGTGGCTGTACAAGTTTGTACAAGTTTCCACAGTGGCTGTACACTCATCCCACCACCAATGAGTGTTACTCTACATCCTCACCAGCATGAGCTGTCATTTGTTTTATTGATCTTGACTGTTCTCACTGGTGTGAGATGAAATCTCAAAGTAATTTTGCTTTTCATTTCCCTGATGGCTAAGGAAGTTGAATATTTCTTTAAGTGCTTCTTGGCCATTTCTGTTTCATCTTTTGAGAATGCTCTGCTTAAATCTGTACCCCATTTTGTTGTAGAATATTATTTTAATATTGTTACTTTTGCTTATGCAGTGGAACATTTGTTTAATGACACAAAGATGTGTTGCATTCTTGCTGTGGGATGTCTTTCTGTATGCTGTGACTATGTGTTGCTCTGATTGGTTGATAAATAAAGCTGCATTGGCCCATGGTAAGGCAGCTTAGAGGCAGACAGAAATTCAAGCAGATAAACAGGAAGAGAAAGGAGAGGCAGAGAGACACCAGCCTGTGGCCCAAGGAACATCATGCCAACAGACAGGTAAGTCATAGAACACATGGTAAAACATAGATTAATAGAAATGGGTTAATTTAAGTTATAAGAGCTAGCTAGCAAGAAGCCTGCCATATGCCAAGCAATTGGTAATTAATATAAGCCTCTGAGTAATTATTTTATAAGTGGCTGTGGGACCGCAGACCTGGTGGGACCAGAGAAACCTTCCAACTACACATTCTTTTATGTTGCATTTGTTTATAAGGGAAATCAGTCTATAATTCTTTCTCTTTGTTAGGTCTTTATGTGACTTAGGTATCAGGGTAATTGTGGCCTTGTAAAAAGAATTAGGCAATGTTCTTTTTATTTTGATTTTGTGGGATAATTTGAGGAGTATTGTCATCAGTTCTTATTTGAAGGTCTAGAGAATTCTGCACTTAATCTATCTAACCCTGGGATTCTTTTGGTTGGGAGATTTTAGTTACTTCTTCTATTTCACTGAGGGTTATAAGTCTGTTTAAGTTGATTATCTGCTCTTGTTTTAACTTTGGTAGGTGGTATATATTAAAAAAATTGTTTCGTTCTTTTACATTTTCCAATTTGGTGGAGCACAGGTTTTTAAAGTATGTCCTTGTGATTCACTGGATCTCCTCAGTATTTATTGTTATATTCCCCTTTTGTCTCAAATTTTGATCTTTTCTCTCTGCCTTTTAGTTAATTTGGATAAGGGTTTGTCAATCTTATTGATTTTTCTCAAAGAACCAACTTTTTGGTACATTGATTCTTTGTATTTTTTTCTTCTGGTTTATTGATTTCATCACTGAACTTGATTATTTCTTGTTGTCTACTCTTTTTGGGTATGATTTCTTCTTTTTGTTCTAGAGTGTTCAAGTGTGTGATTAAGTTGCTAATATGAGATCTCTTCATTTTTTTTTATGTAGGCACTTAATGCTATGAACCTGCCACTTAGAATCTCCTTCACTGTGCCTATAAGTTTGAGTATGTTGTGTTTTTATTTTCATTCAATTGTAAAGAAAAATATTTAATTTCTTTTTTAACTTCTGTTTTGACCCATTTTTTTTTAGTAGTGAGCTGTTCATTTTCCATGTGTTTGTAAACTTTCTGTTGTTTCAGTTGATAATCATATCCAGCTTTAATTCACGGTGTTAGATAGGATTCAGAGTGTTCTTTCAATTTTCTTGTATCTGTTGAGACTTACTTTGTGTCTAAGTATGTGGTTAATTTTGGAGAAATTCCATGAGTTTCTAAGAAGATGGTATATTCTGTTGTGTTTGGGTGAAATGTTCTGTAAATATCTGTTAGGTCCATTTGGTTTATAACATTACTTAGCCTTGAGAGGTATAACTTAGTCAAACTTTCGTTTGTTGCTTAATTTTTATCACTGCTGAGTCTTCTGGGGGCGTGGCTAGGCAAGACATCTTAAACTATTTGTATGTACTTGATGCCCTCTCCCTAGGTTTTGTAGTCAAGTGTTAGGGGATTTGACACTGGTTTACGGATTTTTGCATGTGTAATTTTGCCTCTAACTAATTATAAGGCTAGGACCAACCCTTTTGTGTTTATGGGATAAATCATCCATCTAATCATTTCTTTGTTTAGGTTTTGTCTGGATAACCTATCTATTGGTGAGAGTGGGGTATTGAAGTCTCCTACTATCATTATGTGAGGGTCAATACCTGGTCTTAGCTCTAGTAGTGTTTCTTTTATGAACTTGGATGTCGTTGTGTTTGGTACATAGATATTTAGAATTGCAATATCCTCTTGGTGGATTTTTCCTTTGATGAGTACATGGTGTCCTTCCCTATCTCTTCTGGTTAGTTTTGGTTTGAAGTCTATTTTGTCTGATATTAAAATAGCTGCACTGGCTTATTTCTTGGGTCTATTTGCTTGGAAATCTTTTTCCATTCATTTACTCTGAGATGATGTCTATCATTGATGTTAAAGTGTATTTCTTGGATAAAGCAAAAGGAAGGATCTTATTTTTTTAATACAGTAAGGTGTTCTGTATCTTTTTTATTGGGGAATTGAGACTATTGATATTAAGAACTATCAATGAGCAATGTGTGTTAATTTCTATTATTTTGTTGTGGTGGTGTGGGGTCCCCCCACCGCTTGATTTGCTGATCTGAAATAATTTGTTCTTTATGTTTTCTTGGGTGTGGTTAACCTTTTCAGATTGAATTTTTCCTTCTAATGCCTTTTGGAGATCTGAATTTGTGAATAGATAATGCTTAAATTTAGTTTTTATCATGGAATGCTTTTCTTTCTTCATCTATTGTGATTGAAAGATTTGCTAGGAATAGTGGTCTGGGCTGGCATTTACAGTATTTAGAGTTGGTGGAACATCTGTTTAGCCCCTTCTAGTTTTCAGTCACCATTGAAATACAAGGTATTATTCTACTATGTCTACCTTTATATATTACTTGTTCTTTTTCCTTGAGAATTTTGATATTTTTTCTTTGTTCTGTACATTTAATGTTTTGATTATTGTGTGTCATAGGGAATTTCTTTTCAGGTCCAGTCTATTTGGTGTTCTATTTGCTTCTTGTACCTTGACAACCACCTCCTTCTTTTGGTTAAGAAAATTTTCTTCTATGATTTTTTTTTTTTTTTTTTTTTTGTTTTTTTTTTTTTGGTTTTTTCGAGACAGGGTTTCTCTGTGTAGCTTTGCGCCTTTCCTGGAACTCACTTGGTAGCCCAGGCTGGCCTTGAACTCACAGAGATCCGCCTGCCTCTGCCTCCCGAGTGCTGGGATTAAAGGCGTGCGCCACCAACGCCCGGCTTTCTTCTATGATTTTGTTGAAAATATTTTTCTGTGCCTTTGACCTGAGTTTCTTCTCCTTCCTCTATCCCTATTGTTCATATTTGGCCTTTGCATAATGTCCCACATTTCCTATGTGTTTTGTGCCTACTTTTTTGTTTTTTTTAGACTTAATATTTTCTTTTTTTTCGTTCTTTCTTTTTTCTTTTCTTTTTCTTTCTCTTTTTTCTTTCTTTCTTTCTTTTTTTTTGGACTGGAGTACCTATTTCTTCTATCTTGACTTCAATGCCTGAGACTTTCTCTTCCATCTCTTGTATTCTGTTGACGAGGCTTACTTCTGAGGTTTTTGTTTTACGTCCCAAATGTTTCCTTTCCATTTTCCCTCAGTTTGGCTTTTATTTAGTGATTTTATTTCTAGTTTCATGTCTTGAACTGTTTTTTTCATTTCATTCCACTAGTTATTTGTGTTTTCATTAATTTGTTCATTTCTTCTTTAAGGTCCTTGGGTGTATTAATATTTGGAAGTCCTTGTCTGTGCTTCAGCTGTTGCATTTCTCAGAGACTCCTGTAGTAGGGTTGCAGGGTTCTCATGGAGACATTGCCCTGGTTTTGCTGTGTTTTCACACTGGTATCCAGGCATCTGGGTTTGGGATGATTGTGATTCTAGATGCTGATATCTGGTCTTTGTTTGGGTGAGTGTTCTGTTCCTTGGTTTCTGTCACCTTCTCTTGAATTTAGGAAAACATGGTTGCTGTGAGTTGACTGGTAGGGAGTGCTTCTGAATTCCTGCCAGGTATGGCCACTGGGGGTCCAGGTAGAAGGTATTTCTGTGTGTTGGAGGCTGACACAAAGAAATGCAGATGGGCTTTGGGTGGGGGCTGTAAAGGTTCACAGGATGGAAGAAAGCTGGGTCTTGCATGTGGTTTAGTGCAGTACCTATGGAGTAGATCCAGAGAGGGAGAACAGGCTGCTCCAGGGCTGTAGATGAGACTGGGGAATTGGAATTGGAGGACAGGAAGGAAGTGAAGATTGCCTCCCTGGTTCCTTGGCATGGCCAGTGGAATTCCAAGCAGAGTGTGGCACCTGGAGTTGGTGGCTGGGACAAAGGGATGGGGTGATGGAGGAAGGCTGATGGCACAGAAAATCTGTAGGGTCCCCTGGGAATGGGGACAGAGAGGAGGTGGAGGCCCCAGAAGGTGGGCTGCTACAGAGCTGGAGGACAGGAAGGAAAGTGGAGATAGCCTACCTCTTGTTCTGCATTGTCTGACAGCTTTTTGTTTTGTTTTGTTTTGTTTTGTTTTTCATAGACAAGGTCTCACAATAGAGCTCAAGCTGTCCTAGAACTCCCTGTGTAGACCAGGCTGGCCTAGAATTCACAGAGACTTGCCCTTTTCCACCTCCTCAATCCTGGGATTAGTATTTATGGGATTTATCTATCCAAAAGAGAAACGTTAAGTCACATATAAAGATAGTCTCAACAGAATAAAAGTTGATTTCTTATCAGAAACCTTAAAAGCAAGTGGAGCTTGGAATTATTCAGCTTGAGTTCTGAAAGGTCACAGCTGTTACCCCAGACTATGAAACCCAGCATTGAAAGTACAACAAACTTTCCGTGGTTAAAGCAGGCTACAGGAATTTATAGATGTTAATCCATCCCTACAGAGGATTGTGAATGGAGTTATTCAAACTAGAGAGAATGATAAACAAGCCCAAGGAACTATGGAGGAAAGAATATACAATAATAGACCAACAATTCAGTGAATGGAATTTACAAAATACCAAATACTACAAAATGATGCAAATTAATACAAATCTTTTAGTGATAATGTTGAATATGGATCATCTCTGTTTACCAATATTAAGATGCAGACTAACAGATTGTATTAAAAGTGGGGAGGTCCCTCTATTGGCTGCCTCCAAGAAACACAACTCACCATCAATAATAGATACTATCTTATAGCAGAAGGATGGAAAATAATATCCTAACAAAATAGAACTAGGAAACAAGCAGGTGTTCCTAGACTGATAGCTGATAAAATTATTTCAAACTAAAACTAGTTACAAGAGAAAAATAAGATTATTTCATACTAATTAAGAGAACAGTCCATCAAGAGGACAATTGTAAACATATACACACTGAACACTTTGGTACCCAATGGAGGAATAAAATGTTACTGTGTATAAAGTCATAGATGACACCCAACACAATAGTGAGTGACTTTGGAGCCCTGTGCTCACCAAGAGACAAGTCATCTCGACAAAAGGACAGAGAGATAATGAGAGCAAATTGACCTATTAGACATCTGCAGAGCATGCTAACCAAACAGTGAAGACTGTACATCTTCTTAGAAATCCATAAGGCTTTCTCTACAGCAGGTCATATCTAGGGATACAACACTAGGTTTCAACAAACATAGGAAAATTGAAATAATTTCTTATGTTCTATCTGACAATGGTGGAACAAAGTTAGAACTCAAGAGAAACTGCAAAAATATATAAATTCATGGAGATTAAACACCACACTAGTGAAGGAAGAATGGGTCACTGAAGAAATCAAAAACAAATTCAAAATTAAAAGGAAGATTGGAAATAGAAAACAACATGTAAAAACTAGTGGGATACAATGAAAGCAGACCTCAGTGGAATTTATAGCAATCAGTGCTATATTAAAACATACAAGAGATCTGGAAGGGGGTGGATTTGGCTCAGCAATTAAGAGCACTTATTATTCTTACAGAGAATATGGGTTCACTTCCCAGCTGTGGGGCACACATGGGCTGCAAAGAGGGTGCCCAGAGAAATTCAGCTAAATTGAGCTTAAGCTTTAAGGTGTTTACACAGAGAGTGGATACAAATGGTGAGAAAGAACGTTAGCTCAAGTTATTTATGCTAAGATAAGATACTAAAAAACAAGAGATAGTGTCAGAACATAAACAACTTGTAAATAGGGTGCCCTTTAAAATGATTGGTTTGTTCCTTCACCCCCTCCTGGGGTTTGGAGGTTTTCTGGTATAAAAGAAGCTTACTGCCTATCAATACACGAGTTCTTGCTTGACTTGACTCCCCACTGGGCCTGATTGTCTCCGGGAAAGAGGGAGGCTGGGAAATGGGCGGATTGCCTTTCCTCGGTTCCAGGCCACCTCTTCACAGGTGACCCAAGTTCCCATTGGGGCAGGTCCCTACACCCAGCACCTACATGGTGATTTATAATGACCTATAACTCCACTTTCATGGGATCTGATGCTGATCCTGGATGACGTAGAGGGGATTCAGGATTACAGGGTGGTAGCGGTGCTAGCAGGAATAAGAAAAGCATCCCTCAACAAGGACCCAAATGACAGACGTCACTGAGTTACACAATGGTAGGATGGCCCTCAGGGGAGTGGGAAAGATGAAGTCAAAGAGGTGGCCTTAGTCCTATTAGGTGGGGCCACCTATAAAGACCTCAGTTAATAGTCTTAACACATCGGAACCCTTTGCTGAGATTTTAGCAGAAGACAAATGGGGCCTTGCTGTTTACAAAGCTCACTCAGCTTCAGTGTGGGGAGGGAACATGGATGTGTGCGTGGCCTTTCCCCTAATCTTCAGTTGCTCACAGAACAATGTCCAGGCAAGTTTGGAGGCACTTAGGGTCACACAAATACGTGACCACTTTTAGCATCAGCAGTGCTATCATTCTAGAGTCTGGCCTGCCAGGGCCTCGGAAGTGTTTAGATGGAAGAAACAAATGGAGAGATCCACAAGCATTTCTCTGGACCCGTGCAGGCCCCTGGAGTCCCTCCCGAGACAACTTCGAACTTCGCCAGACCCAGTTCCAAATGCAGATGGGAGTCATCTAGTTGTAAACCCTAAAATGCTGATTTGAAGCAAGCATAAATTTATAGTGCAAATATTTACTTCGTGATGTACATGGGACCTATAAAAATACGAACTTCCACTTTTTATTATGCAGACACTGTTCATTGTGTAAACGCTCGTTTATTGGGCATGTGATATATGTTGCAGAGAAAGTAAGAAATTCAAATACACAGAAGAGATGAAACTAACAACTAGCAATCATCTCAATTGCCCCCTCCCCTGGGGGGCGGTACTTCCTTGTTGAGTGCGCTACCAGGGCTCCTGTGCCCAATGTAGTATGTGCTGATTAAAACTAAGCCTTTTAAATTTTTCTTTTCTTTTTTGGTTATAAAAATCATAGACACCAGTTTTAGTTAATTTGAATATACAGAACACATAAAGTAGAAAACAAATGGAGGTCATAATACTACCTCCATCCCTGTCTGAGAATGGAAAGGCAGCTGGCAATCCATTCAAGCCTGCAGCTGTCACTCTGAACGGCCACATTAGAAATACTTCCTTCCTTCATTTCAGCCCACCGCCTCCCTTCCTTAGAACAGGAAAATCAAAGGAGGACTGCTGACTTTGTGGGGTGCCGATACTGTGTGAATGCTGGAGTTCACTGACACTGAGCCACAGCCCAGGCTCCTGCGCACTGCTTTCAGATCTCCCAATGAGATAAATAAATTCGAGGAGCAAGAAAAGAGAGATGCTTTGTGATTACACTGGGAGAGACTTTTGAGTGCTTCTTCTGTTAAAAATCCTTACAGACACCTGCCCTTGGGGTATCAATTGAAGAGATAGAGAGATAGAGGGAGTTCCAGGAATTCATACAATAAGAATGTGCAAGTCGAATTCACAAATTCAAAACAAGATCTGGTTGGAGAAGTGAATGAAATTCTGCTTGTTTGGGCCACCTAAGTTTCTGTTCCTGCCAACCTAGCCCTGACTTGGAAATAATGATTCTTCTCGTGGCCGCCACTCTTAATGTCATATGGCTCCCAGACATTTCTAAGATTGCAGAATCTGTGAGTGGTGCTGGCCCAGGAAACAGCATCAGTAACCACAAATCTTACAGGTAATCTTGAATATCTAAATCGAACAATTGAAAAATCATTTGCTTAATGGAAAATATTACAGCGCATGATGGTATTCCAATCCAGGTTCAATCTATTTGACGGTAGAACTTTAAGAACATAAGCCCAAATTTTGCCTAGAAAAGAAATCGCTCCACAGTCGAATTTCATTGGAATTTTAAAGCATTACTTCACAGGCAACACTGGTAGGATTTTACTCTTCTGAGACTGCACTTAACTTCGTGGATTCTTTGGAAACTAGTTTTGGCCAACAAAGCCTAACAAAGACATGACTTTAAGCCGGGCGTGGTGGCGCACGCCTTTAATCCCAGCACTTGGGAGGCAGAGGCAGGCGGATCTCTGTGAGTTCGAGGCCAGCCTGGGCTACCAAGTGAGCTCCAGGAAAGGCGCAAAGCTACACGAGAGAAACCCTGTCTCGAAAAAACCAAAAAAAAAAAGACATGACTTTAATGCACCTGAGTTCTGGAAAAGCTGCAGGCAAGGAGCTGGGTTCGTCATATTAAAAGGTAACTTGAGCTGGGCATAGTGGCCCACACCTTTTAATTCCAGCACCTAGGAGGCAGAGGCAGGCAGATCACTTGGAGGCCTGTCAGGCTTACATATTGAGTTCCAGGTCAGTCAGGGCTGCAGAGTGAGATCCCTTCTCAAAAACAGATCAAAACAAACAAAAACAAAAGTAACCTGAAATGCCCACGGGCTGGGAAGTAGTGTGAAGAGGCAAAAGCAAATACAGGAAACTTTCATTTACACTTTTGGTTATACATTATTTGCTTTATCTAGATTGATGCCATAAGTATGAAAACATGTTAATGAATGTAATATAGTTGAATTTATCACATCTAACACCATGAATCAAGGCAGAGAAATAATGGTACACATAGAAAACCCCAGAAAGAACCAGGACAATACAGTTAAAGATTATTTCTGGTTATGGAGTACATGAAAAGTTAAAATAGGCCATAGAAATGACTTTGTACTATTAGTGTATTATTTTTTTGGATACTTTTTCAATTTAGGCCACTATAACAAAATACCTGTTCAGCCCTGGCTACCTGGTGAGCACAGAATGCATCTGGTGCTTCAGTCTGGCCTCCAGTGTGCATGGGGCACATCTTCAGTCTAGTTTTCTATGCCTTTAGAGTGGGGTTTTTCTTTATCTCCACTATATCCAGGATTCTTAGGTTTGGCCTTTACATTTTGTCTCATGAACGTCTTGAAACACAGCTCAGACTTCCTACTAACTTACTTCTGTCCTCATTGGCATGTTTGAATTCCACTGCTGTCTTCAGCTCTTCTGTACCCCCTGAGCTAGTCTATCAAGAGACTTTCCGCAGAGTCTTGTGAATGAGTAGTACCTTTTCTCTCTGACAGGAAGAGCAAATGACACAGTAAATGACATCTAGCGGAGAACCGGGAAGAGACAGGTCTGAAGAGGGGCCAGTCATGCATTAATTAAATGAAATGATTCATTATCCTACATGTACTGAACACATAACAAATGTGACCAGTTATTCACGGGATTATAATAGAGACAAGTTTTTCTGCCTGAATCTGTTTCTTAGAAATACATTTTTTTCCTCCCTAGCACAAGACTATACCTAAAAGATAAGGGGACAAGGCTGGAAATAGGTCTTTACTTCTCTGTCCCTAAAAAAAAAAATCTATTGAGAAGGTAAGGTGAGGCCGACCGTTCTCATCAGAGAGCCCTTTTCGCTCTATTTTTAAAGCTACTTAAGAAGGCCTCTAACATTGCTGGCAATTAGGCTGAGGTCTCTGGGTTCCAAATACATCTTTGATAGATGTCTCTAAGTGCATTGAAGTTGCAGGTACATTTCTTTCAGCGTTTAATGCTAAGCCTTCCTATCATCTATGGATAAATAATTACACATCTTTACCAGGAGGCCCCAGCATAAAGATAACAAGGGATCCAGTTATGCTGCAGTAACAATGTCTTACATAAAATCAGAAAAAATGAAAAAAAAATTGTTTGTGTGTGTGTGTGTGTGTGTGTGTATGCGCGCATGTCCATATGTATGTATGAGAGCAGTGAACCTAGGCTATCCTTAGAAAAGCTGGGCCATAATTTGTGTTCCTATAAAGGAGTATACAGTGTATGTGAGACACAGCACTGGTCCTGGAGAGTGGGTCAGGAGAAGGGGTTATTTCTTCCATAGTATTGCTGGAGCATCCTCTGTGATATAAATGAATGGCTGCAAGATCAAGCCACAGGGTCTAATGAAGTTCCATGATGTGATCTTTGTTAATCACATGCCATGTAATCTCTCTAACCCTCAAGTTCCTCATCTGTACATGAATCATAACTGTGTTTATATTAGTCATGGCCTAAGGTTGTGAGAATTGAGTGAGATAGTTTGGATTGCTATCAGAATATCTTGCACATTATGTAATATAGAACAAATGCCCAAGAGCTATTAACAACATGGTAAGAAATGCAGAAGGCATACCCATCCCTGTATCACAGAACACAGGCTGCTACAAAGGTCCAGGTGTTCTTCCTCCCTCCAGGCCCTGGTTAGGTGAGGCCAAAGAAGGGTTTCTCTCCTAACTATTACTACGTATAAAAATACAGCAAACAACCCCCCCTACACACACACACACACACACACACACACACACACACACACACAACTTCTGCATACTTAAAAATCAAATCCCTTTAAGTTCATTCTGTGTATAACTTTCACAAACCCAGGAGCCCACACAATCAAGGATCAAAGGGCTACTCTTTCAAAGAAACAGTTCAGTGATAAAACGTAAGAAAGAAAAAAACAAAAGAGTCCTTGTTTAGGTCCCTGTGTCCAGCACAGACTGACTCATGGGTCATTCGCTGCTGTCCTTCTCTCCATTCCGCGCTTTCCTCTTGAAACCTCTTAGTCTGCTCCTTTGTCCCCGGACTTCTCTCTCTCTGCAAACATGTGGCCTGAGGGTTAACTGTCCCTAGCCACACCTTCCCTCTGTGCCCTTTCCTTTAGTGGTAGATCAGCTTACCTCTGCCCCAGTAAGCTGGGCTCCCTGCTAACTTACCACAGGACAGGAGTGGCGAAATAGTGAGCAGAATTGTGATTCTCCTACGTGATTGTGGAGAAGACACAGTTCTGCAGACTCTTGGCAGTTCACACAAACACTACAAGACTTTGTTTTCTTTCCCTCATTCTTAATCCACAAATATATTCTCAAATACAAAGATGCAAAGCTAACAAACACTACTATCCTACGTTAAGAACGCATGCACCCCCCCACCCCACCCCCCGCCGCCGCCACCACCACCGCCGCCGCCGCCGCCTTCTCTCTCTCTCTCCATATATATATATAATTTTTTTGAGACAGGGTTTCTCTGTGTAACAGTCCTGGCTGTCCTAGAACTCACTTTGTAGACCAGGCTAGCCTTGAACTCCACAGAGATTCACCTGCTTCTGCCTCCCAAGTGGTGGTTTCACCTTTATCTTTTTTTTTTTTTTTAAAGAAAAATATGTCATTAAGAGTTAATAATGGCCAGTATGTTGATACATGACTTTAATTGCAGCACTCTGGAGGCAAAGGTGGGCACAGCTCTGTGAGCTGGAAGCCTGGCCTGGTCTCCATATCAAGTTCCAGGCTAGCTAGGATTACTCAGTGAGACCCAAGCTTTAAAAGGAAGGAAGGAAGGAAGGAAGGAAGGAAGGAAGGAAGGAAGGAAGGAAGGAAGGAAGAAAGGAAAGAAAGGAAAGAGCGAGCTAATACTATTCCAATGATTGAAGACCCACTGAGATAAGTTATTGGAAGAAGGATGGAGAAGAAACCACCACAGCAAGGACAGACAGCATGCTGCCAAGCTGGACTCGAGATGCAAGTGTCATTTTTTTTTTTTTTTTTTTTTTTAATGTGTAGGAAAGTCCTTTTTCTCTGACCTACACCAAATGAATGACAGAGAAATCCCAAGCGATCAGGGAACTATGAGGTGTCTAGACATAGGACCACCGCCCTCTAGTGTATACTCAAAACACTGAGTATCCTTTTGTCAGAGACGGTAATCCCAAAGACAGGAAAGATGATGCTCTGTTGAACTGCCCAGCAGAATGACTTTAAAACTAATGTGAACATCATTAGAAGGACAACTAGTGACTGTCCAACACCTCACTAGCTGTTGGTGCTAATACTCCTGTAAGGTCTTCAAAATGGACTTTTAAAAACCTCAACACTTATTTATTTATTTATTTGTTTGTTTGTTGTCAGTGTGTGCTCCATGGTGTGTGTGTGGAGGATAACTTGTGGGAGTTGGTTCTCTCCAACCGTATGGGTTCAGAGATCAAACCCAGGTGGTTGGGCTTGGTGGCAAGCACCCTTACTCTCTGAGCTTCTCCCCCCCCCCCCCACTAACTACTTTGCAAAAGGGAAAGAATCCTATGTCATAACTCATGTGTGCCCGGATAACGGCTGTCACAAAACCTGCCTAGTCTAGGTTCTCTTACTGCCCAAGCGAAGTTCAGTGAAGGTTTAGATCGAGGCCCCCAGAGTCCTGCCACTGAAATGGCAGGCTTAGATAGAGTCCCCCCCTCCCCCTCCCCCATGTCC